GTGTACAGGGGGAAGACGTGGGTGTAAGACGAGGGAGAGGGAGAAGGATGATGATGATGATGATGTGAGGGCACATACCTGGTATTGGCGATGGTCTGCTAGGGGCAACATCTTCAAGTACTTTGTGGGCTGCTGACGTCTACAGATGCATCGTCAATTAGTAGGCAGACTGTAGGTGTATAGTGAGTAGGCTGGGCGTCGAGCGCCAAGTAGGAGATAGGGCCTGGACACTCATGTTGGTGGTGGCGAGAGCCAGCTCTCATTGACTTTGGTTTTCAGTGTTACGATTTTTCATTGGTGTTATATTGGCGCATTTGTGCTCTCTGGATACAGTGATACTATCTGGCCTTCAATGTGATTGTGTACGCTGGTCATTGTCATCTCGCTATTGCTCATTTTCCTTGCAATTTGGTATGGGAGCTGGTTCGAACTGCGCTCATTGTTTTTTCGCAATAGCTGTTCGGTGCTTCGCATGAGGTGTGGGGCAGTGATAAGGCTTGGGCGTGGAACGTGAGGCGGCCCAGGGTCATGTGGGCGCGCCAGGAAGCTATGTGGTGACAACAGGGATATACGCTGGATGATGAGAGCTCGCTGATGTGGCATTTAAGCCGAGGTGGAACTCCATCTGGTGTTGGTTGTGCGAAGGCAAAGACCGGTCATCATAAATGCACATCAGGTTGCCGGTGAGAAATCTGTGGTTGGGGGCAGCATTATGAGGTACGTTGCTTCCTTCCTTATCTACCCTCTTCATTGCTTCTTATCGTGAGGGAGTGAGTCTTGTCTTGAGAGTCCTCTCATTGTGAGATGTCGCGAGCGCTCAACCTTGAGAGTCAACATTCTTCCTGGGCAGCAAGCTGGTGGGAGACGGGCGATGCCTCTGAAGGGTCACGGTCATCATGCCAACCCGCTGGGACTAGGACACACATGCTTTGCTGAAAGTCCTTGGTTCTGCTGCTGCGCGATAGAGGTCATGCAGGGCATGCCAACCCTTTGAACAAACGGTTTCCAAACTATCTTTAAATATTTCTGGCGGGGA